TGGATAGGAATCTACCCAGGGCTCATGTTTGTCACAGCTGGGGGGCCGGGGGCGGAGGGTCCCTCTGGTCCCCCTTTGAATGCTGCAGACAACATCTTCTCTCAGATTTTAAGCTGCAGAGACCACATTTCCAGCATGTGGTCTTGAGCTGTGGAAACCTCTCCTCCTGCCCAGGACTCGCTCTACAGAGACGAATTCATTCAGGTCCCCAAAGCCCCTGTAGAGTTTTGGCCATAAATGGTTCCTCATAAAGTGGTGCCCCCAGGATGTTCAGCCTCCCTCCTGCCCCTGCAGGCCTCCTATCCCAGGGTGCCATGTGCTGCTGCCCTGCTGGGAAGAGAAGTCCGGAGGGCACGGGGCAGCACTGCCGCTTAGAAGCCCCTTGTACTTTCTTTCTGTCAGATCCTGCCGCCCTGTTTCAGAGGGAAGAGTGGGTTGTCAGTAACAAAATGTTTTCTCCCTTGCCCCTTTTTCGATACAGTTGGTAGACATTTCTCCCAGACTTCCTTGGTGACTAGTGGTGTTGGGATGTTGTGGCCTTCACAGGGAGGGGACAGGTTGTCAGGTCTCCGTTTCACAGATGGTTGACCGATGCCGACTGTAGCTGGCAGGTCTCTTCTGGCTGCAAGTGACAGAAACCCAACTCAAACTTGTCCTGCAAGTAGAGACATTTATTGCATCTCAGACTTGAAGGAAGGGGAAGGGTGTGTTTGGGTCCCAGAAGCCAGATACAAAATGCCATGTTTTATGTAACTCCATGTATATGAAATGTCCAGAATAGGCAAATCCATAGAGACAGAAAGTAGATTAGTGGTTGCCAGGGATTGGGAGGAGCGGGGGGGGCAGTAACTACTAAATGGGGTTTTGTTTTAGATTGGTGAACATATTCTAAAATTGAGTGAGGTGGTAGTTGCACAACTCTGCAAATATACTAAAAAACCATTGAATTGTATACTTTAGTAGAATTAATTGTATGATACATGAATTATATCTCAATAAAGCTGTTACCAAAAAATATTGTTCAAGATCTGGCCAGGCAATGCCCCTTTGAGCTAGCTCTTGTGTCCATTTGACATGCCCCAATCCATACTTCGCGCACTTTTTAAATTTCTGGTACAACAAGGATCCAGACTTATCTCATAACCGTTTCCTGCTGCAGCCTGGGAATCAGCCATATTCCCTAGAGTTGCGGTTCCTTGTTGTGTGGAATGTGAACCAAGATCTGGCCATTATTTCATTTAATCATCACATCTTGTTTTCTGCTTTTAGAAACCAAAAGAATGTCTCATTATGGGCTGCTACCATCATATGCAGGAAGTTTTAGAATGAAAAAGATTCTGAATTGATCCTTGCTAACTTTATTTCAGAAAGTGGTAAAATAGCTGTGGAGTACAGACCCAGTGAAGAGATTGTAGATGTCAGATGGGAAGAAGAACTACATGGTTTAATTCAAGTATGTGGAGATAAAAACTCAAGAGTAACAGGGCTGGGCGCTGAGGCTCACACCTGTAATGCCAGTGCTTTGGGAGGCTGAGGCAGGCGGATCACGTGAGGTTGGGAGTTCAAGACCAGCCTGACCAACATGGAGAAATGGTGGTGCATACATCCCAGCTACTCAGGAGGCTGAGGCAGGAGAATTGCTTGAACCTGGGGGCGGAGGTTGCAGTGAGCCGAGATCACACCATTGCACTCCAGCCTGGGCAACAAGAGTGAAACTCCATCTCAATAAACAAACAGGCCAGGCATGGTGGCTCATGCCTGTAATCCCAGCACTTTGGGAGGCTGAGGCGGGCAGATCATGAGGTCAGGAGTTCAAGACCAGCCTGGCCAACATGGTGAAACTGCATCTCTACTAAAAATACAAAAATTAACTGGGTGTGGTGGCGGGCACCTGTAATCCCAGCTACTTGGGAAGCTGAGGCAGGAAAATTGCTTGAACCTGGGAGGTGGACGTGGCAGTGAACCGAGATCATGCCACTGCACTCCAGCCTGGGCGACAGAGGAAGACTCGAGAAAAGAAAAGAAAAACAACTCAAGGGTCAGATAACATAGCCAGTGTAATCATAATTCAAAATAAGCAGCAGAATTTGGAGGATAATTTCCTTCATTCTCAGGAAAATGTGAAACTCCGAAACTGCTTTTTGAGTGCAGGGTATTTCTGGGGCTTTTCCTAAAGTTTTGACCCTTGGCTCTGACCCCTTATTTGGAGTTTGGAGACAGAACTGAGGACTGTGTTACTACAGCTGTGGACACAGGAGAGGGGTTAGTCTCCCCTGGCCCCAGGAGTAAGGGATGCTGGGCTGCTTGAACACAGGCCTTTTTAGAACTCCCTTCAAACAGGATCCCAGAGATGTGGGGAGAATGTAAGTGGCCTCAAGAATGATTGTGCTACAGCTTTCGAAAACGATAATGCCTTTCAAATATGGCTTATTACTTGGATCTCAATATCTCCCATGTACCTTGGGTGGAATATTTTGCTGAAGATTTTTCTGTCAATCATTTACAATCCTGTGCTGCAAAATGAAGTTTCAGTCAACAATAGACCACATATATGATGGTGGTTCTATAAGAGTATAATGGAGCTATCCCTCTACAGGTATACCATTTTTATCTTCTTCTTCTTTTTTTTTTTTTTTTGAGATGGAGTCACTCTGCTGCTCAAGCTGGAGTGAGTGCAGTGGTGCGATCTCAGCTCACTGCAATCTCCACCTCCCAGGTTCGAGTGATTCTCCTACCTCAGCCTCCTGAGTTGGGATTATAGGCACGCACCACCACACTCAGCTAATTTTTGTATTTTTAGTAGAGACTGTTTTTTGCCATGTTGGTCAGGCTGGTCTCAAACTCCTGACCTCAGGTGATCCACCCACCTAGGCATCCCAAAGTGCTGGGATTACAGGCATAAGCCACTGTACCCGGGCCCAATTTTTATCTTTTATACAGTATTTTAACTATACCTTTTCCAGGTTTACATACACAAATACATGCCATTGTGTTACAGTTGCCTTTAGTATTCAGTACAGTAACATACAGTACAGGTTTGTAGCCTAGGAGTCGTAGGCCATACCATATAGCCTAGGTGTGCTGTAGGTTACACCACCTAGGTTTGTATACGTATACGCCATGATGTTAGCACAATGGTGAAATCACCCAATGACACATTTCTCCAGCTCCTCACATGGCAAGTAACGCATGACTGCATATGAAAGCTCTTAAATAGGGAATAAGTTTCTAAATCTCAAAACAGTCACTATTTACTATATGTAGATTTTTTTTTTTTTTTTTTTTAAGGAGCAAAAGTATCATTTCAGTGGGAACTCAACTTGGGGCTACAGTGCTTTATTTAACTTTCACCCCAAAGTTACAAAGTGTTTTGAAGTTTTTACCTGTAAAATAATCATTTTAATTCGATTTAAATAAAACCCTCCAAGGAAACTTCAAGCTTTAAGAAGTCTAGCTTCCTGTGAAATGTGAGAGGAAGTCAGCACTGATTTCAGGAATCTGATTATAACAATAGATCCATCCCTAAATGAGGCAAATCTTGGAATCTCTTCAATTTTAGTTTATTTTATTTTTTTGAGACGGAGTTTCTCTCCTGTTGCCCAGGCTGAAGTGCAATGTTGCAATCTAGGCTCACTGCAACCTCTGCCTCCCAGGTTCAAGCGATTCTCCTGCTTCAGCCTCCCGAGTAGCTGGAATTACAGGTATGCACTACCACACCTGGCTAATTTTGTATTTTTAGTAGAGACAGAGTTTCACCATGTTGGTCAGGCTGGTCTCGAACTTCTGACCTCAGTGATCCACTCACCTCGGCCTCCCAGAGTTCTGGGATTATGGGTGTGAGCCACTGTGCACGGCCCCCCTTCCATTTTAAAACCATCACTATGCACCCTGTGCCTCTGCTAGGCACTGGAATAAGATGAAGCACCTACTTGGAGTTTACATGCTGATAATTGTGCCAGACAGTAATAAAATAGGTAAGAATGGCTGTGGGGGAAGTCAGCTGTGTTCTAATTACAGTCGCATTTCAGGACATTATTTAACATGTTGACTTCAACAGCCTAAGCCTCTCCTCCATGTGTGCACACAGGGTAGATCTCTGAAGGGTGGCGCTGTAACTTCTAGGGTAATGGCTGTGTTGAGTCAAGGCAGGATGACAGTTCAGCCTCCTCCCAGGCTAGTGCAAAGGGCTCTTCACTCGGATTAAAGCCTTCTCTCCCAGACTGAATTGCCCACCCCCAACACCCCTCCTACAGAAAATGTGGAGTCCTTGCTTATTCCCTGGCAGCCCCTACCTAGTAGGGTGGTGAATTCATTATCAAACATGCAAAACATGCAACAAAAGATACCGAAAGTTTAGCGAAAACAGCAACATTTTGGAATAAATGACAGTAATGTGCGTCGTGCCTGCCACCCGAACTGGCGCCCATTTTGCAGCTCAGTTGCTCTCCCTGGAAGGAAGAGTGTGCTCGGATTTCACCTTGGAGGAGGAAGAATTCAGGCTGCCAGAACTGGACTAGCACTTGTGAATATCGTGAGGCGAGGTCCTGTGACTTCCTTGGGAAGCTCTGCCGCGCCCCCACCCCACCCCACCCCATCCCATCCCACCCCACCCTACTCCTGCAGGCCGCTGGAGTCGTGGGACCACCTGGGTCTGCCGCCCAAATCCTTCCTCACTAAGGGAAGGGGAGGGGTGGGGTGTTCCGGCTGGGTGGGGTGGGAACGGGTGCTTGGGTGGGATTGTGACATAAGCTTGCCCTGGTGACATGGAGCAGATCTGGACCTGAGTATAATAAAGGTGGCATAAATAAAGGTGTCATAAAGACAGGGCGGGGCTCACGCTTATAAGGGGCACGAGCCTCTCAGGGCTGCCAGAATGACTCCCGCTCAGTGCGGAGCTCCAGCCTGTATCATGTCCCGGCTGCGTTTCTGGGGCCCATGGCTCCTCCTCATACGGCAACTATTGTGTCTACTAGTCAAGGAGGCTGAGCCTCTGGAGTGGGTCAAGGACCCGCTCCAGCTGACCTCTAACCCCCTGGGGCCGCCTGAGCCCCGGTCTTCCGGCGCCTCCCATCTCCCATGGGAATCTCCCCATGCGCCCACTCCCCCGGGAGACCCGGGGGACTTTGATTACCTGGGGCCCTCTGCTTCCTCGCAGATGTCAGCCCCACCCCGGGAATCGACTGCCTCCAGAACTCCGGGTGAACTCAGATGAGCCTCCAGGGCCCCCTGAGCGAGTTGGACTTTCTCAATTCCATCTAGAACCTGAAACTCAAAATCCAGAGACGCTTGAACACATCCAATCCTCTTCACTCCAGCAAAAAGCCCCAGGGCAGCTTCCACAGCTCCCTGAGGAGGAAGAACCTTCTTCCACCCAGCAGGAGGCCCCAGCTCTGCCTCCAGCATCCTCTATGGAGAGTCTAACTCTACCGAATCGTGAGGTGACAGTTCAGCCTCCAGGTGAGGATCAAGCTCATTATAACTTGCCCAACATTACAGTTAAACCTGCAGATGTGGAGGTTACCATAACTTCAGAGCCTACCAAGGAGACAGAATCTTTCCAAGCCCAGCAGGAGGCCCCGATTCAGTTTCCAGAGGAGGCGGAACCTTCTGCAACCCAACAGGAGCCCCCAACTGAGCTTGCAGGTCCTCCTATGGAGCATGAACTTTCCCCCAGTGAGCAGGAGCAGCCAGCTCAGCCTTCTGAGTCTTCTGGGGAGGTGGAGTTTTCTCCAGCCCTGCAGGAGACCCCAGCTCAGCCCTCAGAACATCATGAAGTCACAGTTTCACCTCCAGGTCACCATCAAACTCAGCACTCAGTTTTGCCCAACATCTCTGTTAAGCCTCCAGACATGCAGCTCACCATAGCAACAGAGCCTAGTGCAGAGGTGGGAACTTCTCCAGTCCTCCAGGAGGCTACAGCTCAGCTCTCAGGGCCAGGTAATGATGCAGAACCTCTCGCCATCCAGCACGGGGGCCCACCTCTGCCTCCAGAGTCACTGGAAGAGGCTGGACCTTCAGCAATTCAACAGACTTCAGTTCAATCTCCGGAACCTGTTAATAATGAGAACCCCTCTCCAACCCAGCAGGAGGCTGCAGCTGAGCATCCACAGACCGCTGAGGAGGGTGAGTCTTCTCTAACCCAGCAGGAGGCCCCAGCTCAGACTCCAGAGCTCCCTAATGTAGTTGTAGCTCAACCTCCAGAGCATTCAAACCTGACTCAAGCCACAGTTCAACCTTTGGACCTGGGACTTACCATCACTCCAGAACCCACTACAGAGGTTGGACATTCTACACCCCTGAAGAAGACTCTAGTTCCTCCAAAGCATCCTAAGGTGACACTTCTACATCCAGACCAGGTTCAGACTCAGCATTCACACCTGACTCAAGCCACAGTTCAACCTTTGGATCTAGGGTTTACCAGCACTCCAGAATCCACGACAGAGGTTGAACCCTCAACAGCCCTAACGACTACAGCTCCTCCTCCAGAACACCCTGAGGTGACACTTCCACCTTCAGACAAGGGTCAGGCTCAGCATTCACACCTGACTCAAGTCACAGTTCAACCTCTAGCCCTGGAGCTTACCATAACTACAGAACCTACTACAGAGGTTAAACCATCTCCAACCACAGAGGAGAACTCAACTCAGCCTCCAGACCCGGGGCTTGCTGTAACTCCAGAGCCCACTACAGAGACTGGACATTCTACAGCCCTGGAGACGACTACAGCTCCTCGTCCAGACCAGGTTCAGACTCTGCATCGAAAACTGACTGAAGTCACAGGTCCACGTACTGAACTAGAACCTACTCAAAATTCATTGGTACAGTCTGTAACTTTCGCCCAAAATAAGACTTTAACTGCATCAGAGGAACAGAAGGCCTCCACAAGCACCAACATATGTGAACTCTGTACCTGCGGAGATGAGACACTGTCATGTATTAATCTCAGCCCAAAGCAGAGGCTCCGCCAAGTGCCTGTGCCAGAGCCCAACACCTACAATGGCACCTTCGCCATCTTGTAAGAATCACCTTTCCCCAATTGTCCTCTGTCTCCTGCTTGACTTGGCAGCCTTTTCCTGGAGGCCTTCCTGGGCTTTCTTTATCTCCCCAAGCCATCCTGACAACTGACTTTCTGCTTTCACCTTTGCTTGTCAGCTCTTCCTTCTCCTCATTCTCCTTTAATGTTAGGCCCCTTCTCCAGTCTTTTACTTTTACTCTAGCCTTTTACTCGTTTTCTTATCCATTTTTATTTAGCCCCATCACATCATTGCTTAACCACTGCTCTCCTCCCATTTTTGCTTCACCCTCTTTACAGCAGCCTGTCCCTCTCCCGATCTCAGTGATGAGGCTCTAAGTGGTTAAGAGTTGATTCCGGAGCCAGGCTTCCTGGGGTTGAACCCAGGTCTGTTTATTAGGTTGGTGACCCAGAACAAGTTATTCCACTCTGTGACTCAATTTCCTCACATTTCAACTGGGGGTTATGCTAGTTCCCATTTCATAGGATTGTTGTGAAATTTAGGTGAGTGAATATATGAAACACTTCATCAGTGCCTAGCATATATAGGAGTGTTGGCTGTTAACATGATTACTCAGTACTTTAGTTATGTCCACAACTCATCTTTGTCCCTGGCTTTCTATATGTAGCACTTGTTGTAGCACATATAGTACATGTGCTATACGTAGCACATGTACTGTCTCCAAAACATGAAAATGATAGGATGGACGAAAGAGAATAGGCATAAAAAGGGAGGTATATATAATTAAGTACTAAAAGATAATGCAGACTATTGGTGCTAGAATTTGCCAGAATCTGTGATCCTTGAGGTGTAAAGATCAGGGAAAGCTACATGGATAAGCTAAAATTTTACTTGGGTCTTAAAGAGTAGCTATAATTTGTTAAATAGAAAAAAATGGGAGTACAGTCTAGGCAAAGGCATGGCTACTGGTATGCTTGGAATTTAGTAGACCAATCTGGCTGCAAAGAATTAGATGAGGGAGCAATGCAGATATGATTATGTAAAACCTTGACTATCAGCTATAGGATTTTGAAAGTTACACAGTGAGATATGGAAAGCCATTGAAAGTTTCCAAGCAAGAGATGAAATGATTAAAACAGGAGGATTATTTTATTTTATTTTGTTTTTTGCTTTATGTTCAAGTGTAGACATGCAAAGGATTATTTTAGAATCCATATGTAATGTGTCCAAAAGGAAAAGCTTAATTCAGGGAGACAAAATAGAAAGGTCTAGCAAAATCTGTGAGTAAAATGTGAAGGGGCCAAATCAGGTCAGTTGTAATAGGAGTGGAAATAAAAAGCCTAGGATGTTTCAACAGAGGGCACCGGACCAAAGCTTTGTTGCTACCTGGCATAGGGTTTCCTTCTTATTATTTGTTCATAATGGTAAGCTTTTGCCCATTTTTCTGTTGAATTATTTACCATTTTTGTGTTGATTTGTAGGAATCTGTTTAGACACATAAGTGCTTTTGGATAAAATACTTACATTCAAAGTAATTAACTGGCATCATCTGTCCAAGAGATGGGATGGACAGGAAGTTAAGCTTCCAGCAGATGCCTCATTTGTGCAAGTGGCCCCGCATTATTTCTTGATTAATTTTGTAAACTGGGAAGCTGATAGCTGTGGAAATGAGAAAGCAGGTGTTATTTTCTGTTTCTGAATATCCCCAACAAGGTTGCCATTTCTTATCCTGTTCATTCTTTTCCTACCTATTCAAGGATATAAACTGTGTTTCTTCACAGAAATTTCCAAGGAAACTATATTTCGTACATTGATGGAAATGTATGGAAAGCATACATTTGGACCGAGAAACTGTGAGTATATTCTCTCCAAATATGACAAAAAACTAACTGCATTGTAAGATCCTTCTCGGTCCAGAATTTTGAGGTCGGTACCGCTGAGAAAAGATATTTCTCCTCCACACCCCAAATCAACCTCTGTTGATGGCAATCCTATGGTTATTTAAAAATTAAATTTGGTAGGCTCTCTTTAAAATAAGAGGTAATTTAAATTTATTTTTTATCATACAAATAATACACAGTTATATTCCTTCTTGACTTTTTTTTTTTTTTTCCAGAGACGGGGTCTTAATTTGTCCCCCAGGCTGGAGTGCAGTGGCACAATCACATCTCACTGCAGCCTTCACTTCCCAGGCACAAGCAATCCTCCCACCTCAGCCTCCAAAGTAGCTGGGACCACAGGTGCATGCCACCACGCCCACCTAATTCTGTATATTTTGTAGAGACAGGGTCTTCCTATGTTGCTTAGGCCGGTCTTGAACTCGTGGACTCAAGTGATCCTCCCACCTTGGCCTCTTAAAGTGCTCATATTGCAGGCATGAGCCACCACCCCCAGCCCATGATTCTATTTTTAATGTATAAAAATGTAGTAACAGGTATAACAATAACCCCCCTTGTGCCCTACTCCCTCATCCCTGAGGTAATGCTACTCTGCATTTAGTGTACATGCTTCCAGACTTTTTCCCATTTGCCTACATACATATTTACATAAAGCAAAATAGATTTGCTGTGTGGTTTTAAAAATTTTTTCTTTACATAAATGGTAACATCTTGCACCTTGATTCTTTCACTTCATGACATGCCTTAGATTTGTTTCCTTCCCAGTACTCAGAGGGTCACCCCATTCATTTAAACCCCTGCATCATTCATAGTCTGGATGCATCATAGTTTATTTAATTATTCCCCCATTGATGAATGTTTAGTTTAGTTTTCTTGTTACATACATTGCTGCAATGAAATCCCTGTACATGCTTCTTTGTGAACATGGGCAAGTATTCCTGTAGAATAGATATCTAGAAATGGAATTGTTGGGGTGAAGACTATGTAGATATAAAATTTTAATTGCCCTTAAAAATGTTGTCCCAACTTACTCTATTGTCAGCAGAAGATGACAGCATTCATATCCCCACACCTTTCACCACTGGGTATTCTCCAACTTTTTGTTGATGTTATGCATGAATAAAAGGGAGTCCATCTAAATTTGAATTTTTCTGATTACTCATGAATTTAATTAAATGTCTTTATATGTTTATTGAACATTTGTGTTTCTTCTCTGAGTTTTCTGGCCTTTGTTCATTTTCCTGTTGAATCGTTTTATCATTTTCTTACTGATTTATAGAAAGAATTGGTTTAGACACATAAATGATTTTGGAAAAAATGCTTACATTCGAAGTAACTGGCATTTTTCACAACAGTTTGTGTGTCATATCATTAGTTCAACGTATATAGACAAGTCATGCATGAGTTCTAAATTAAAAATAAAACACGTGCTAGGCACAGTGACTCACGCCTGTAATCCCAGCACCTTGGGAGGCCAAGGTGGGCGGATCACCTGAGGTCAGGAGTTTGAGACCAGCCTGGCCAATAGGGCGAAACCCCGTCTCTACTAAAAATACAAAACTTAACCAGGTGTGGTGGTGGGTGCCTGTAATCCCATCTACTTGGGAAGCTGAGGCAGGAGAATTGCTTTATTTTTTCGATGGAATTTTGTTCTTGTTGCCCAGGATGGAGTGCAATGGCGCGATCTTGGCTCACTGCAACCTCCTCCTCCCAGGTTCAGGCGATTCTCCTGCCTCAGCTTCCCGGGTAGCTGGAATTACAGGTGCCCGCCATCATGCCCAGCTAATTTTTATATTTTTAGTAGAGACAGGGTTTCACCATGTTGGCCAGGCTGGTCTCAAACTCATGACCTCAGGTGATTCACCTGTCTTGGCTTTCCAGAGTGCTGGGATTACAGGCGTGAGCCACCACGCCAGGCCAGAACTACATTTTAAAAACAAGAAAATTATTACGAAGGTCAGGATAGTGGTTACCTATTAGGGTTAGAGAGAGGGATATGATGGGAAGGGGCATGCTAGGGTTCTGGAATGCTAGCAATGATCTTTTGTAACAATGTTTACATGGGTATCTGCTTTATAATTATTAAACTGAATATTTGGCCAGGTGAGGTGGCTCATGTCTGCAATGACAACACTTTGGGAGGCAGAGACAGGAGGATCACTTGAGCCAGGAGTTTGAGACCAGTCTGGGAACAGAGTGAGACCCTGTCTCAGAAATTAAATTAAATTAAATATAAAGAACATTGATGTCCTGTGCACTTTATGCACATTGTAGTTCTCATATTTTTTTTTTAATGGGGGAAAAAGGTTGAATGGCTTCACTTGCAGCCCTGACATGGTTCCATGTGGGGCTTTCATACTAAGGTTTAGAGAAAGAGGAGGAAATGGAGGTTCTGCTGATCTTGGTGCCACCCACAGGTGGATTCTGAAAGGGATTTTGTGATCTAGAGAGGAGGCATGAAATATACAGTTTGGTGAAAAGAGTGGGTAGAGGTGTGCTTGTGTGTGTGTGTGTGTGTGTGGTGGTGGTGGTGGTGGTGGTGGTGGTGGTGGTGGTGGTGGTGGTGGTGGTGGAGAGAGATGGACACAAAAAGGAAAATGTAAGAAAAGGTTTGAATGAAAGCAGAGCAGATACCACCGTCTTAAAATGACCATGACCCAGCTTTCCCCCACATGCAGGACATAGTCCTGTGCGGCAAATAGTTGTACTTTGCATTTTAATCTAGAAATAACTTTTTCATTTTCCAGAATTCTCAATGAAAATTATTTGACTGAATTACATAAGGATTCATTTGAAGGCCTGCTATCCCTCCAGTATTTGTAAGTTAGTTAATCACATTTATGAGTTTTTAGTCGTATTATCTGTAAAATGAATAAGGGGTTCAAATTAGATAATCTCTAAGATTTCTTCCAGCAACAAAATTCTGCAATTCTGTAAGTTTGTGTAGGGTCTTAGCCCATCTCTAGCATTAGCTACATCCTATGCATTTTCAGTTTTTAAATTATCAAGACACAATACAGACAGAAAAAAATTTCACATAGTAATAAGATCTGAGCAGTGACTGACACTCATATGAACCTTGTTTTATAAGTGTTCACACACCATCATCTTCTATTCAGTCTACAACCAATAAATCAAATCTAATCTATGGTCTATTTTTAAATAGTCCATTAAGTTAAGAATGCTTTCTGCATTTTTAAAGGACTGTGAAAGAAAAAGAAAAGAAACAAAGAGAAATATGTGACAGAGATCACATGTGGCCCAAAAAGTCTAAAATATTTACTGTCTGACCTTCACAAAAAAGAGATTTGAAAAAGTTGGTTTAGTAGGACGAAAGGAATTAAAGTTAACTTCAGATTGTTGCCTAAAGGAGAAGAAAATATAGACCACCTACATTCATTTGAACATCATTAATCCAGAGTTTTTTGGTAATTTAATTGGAATTAAATTAACATTTAAATATTAAAAATCAGCTGAATTATGTAAATAATATTATCAAGAATATCGAGCTACCAAGAGAATAGACTGGTATTAAGGATTTCAGTTCAGGAATTGTTATATGAAAACAGATGTTTAAAATGATGGTTAAGTGGTAGAGCTAGAAATGTTTACACTCAGAAGCATACCAGAAATGCCCCTGACTTTTCACTAATTACAAAATAACTATCTCCTCAGCCCTGTTACCAAGAAAGGGATACCTGCATAGTATTTCTGTCTGTTTAGAGACAAGAAGATACTATGTTCATTGCTATGAAAGCTTGATTCTTGGCCGGGCGCGGTGGCTCAAGCCTGTAATCCCAGCACTTTGGGAGGCCGAGGCGGGTGGATCATGGGGTCAGGAGATCGAGACTATCCTGGCTAACATGGTGAAACCCCGTCTCTACTAAAAATACAAAAAACTAGCAGGGCGTGGTGGCGGGCGCCTGTAGTCCCAGCTACTTGGGAGGCTGAGGCAGGAGAATGGTGTGAACCCAGGAGACGGAGCTTGCAGTGAGCCGAGATCAGGCCACTGCACTCCAGCCTGGGAGACACAGCAAGACTCCGTCTCAAAAAAAAAAAAAAAAAAAAAAAAAAAAGCAAGCTTGATTCTTATCCTTTGTCCATAGAGGTGTGTATGTCATTAATCCTTATTAAGCTCATCAGCGATGCTCTTTTGCAAACAGATTCTTTCAAATGTAGAAGGCTTAAGGAAAGTGGGTGTAAAGACCCTCAAGTGGATGCCAAAGTGCTACAGAGGCCATGAAGTAATAAAACTACATTTCCTTTAAAATAGTCATTTTCCTTCTACTCACTCCCCCAGCTATTCATTTATTTTACAAATATTTGAGTTTGCTTTATTTCCACCTGTCAGTTTTAAATATGGTGGGCAATGCGGATGAGAAGACCTAGTCCATGCTTGCAAGGAGTTTATGCTCAGAAGAAATGGGATAAAAAATAACTACATTAAAAAGAAGAAATGGATATGGGCACTAGGAGGGATACATTGTTTCTGCAGCATAGGAGGGATAAATTATTTCTGGAGCACAGAAGAGGAGAAAATGCCTTCAATTTGGACCCAGGAAGATGTTACTAGAACAATGCCATTTGGATAGGACTTTGAAGGGCCATCGTGTAACATCGGACAGACATCTTGGGGAATATATTCTAAACTTGCAAAAGGAAAATGGGAGAAGGGCAAAGCGCAGGAAAGTGTTCGAGGAATGCCATGAGTACCTGTAGAGTACAAGGAGGGAGAGTAGGAAATTGGAGCCAGATCTTCTAGGGCTTTGAATGCCCCGCTGGGGAGCCATCATGGGGAACCGTGTTACCGCAGCAGTGCTGTAGATAGATCTGCATCACAATCACTGAGAGGGCGCCTTAGAACTCAGTTCCGGATCCGCCCTCGTGGTTACTGATTCAGTTGGTCTAGAGTGGAACCAAGAATTTGCATCTTCAATAATTTCCCAGGAAATGCTGGTCTTTGCAAACCACTTCTGGAGAGTTTATCTGATGACTGTGTGCAGGATAGTTTAGGAAGGGAGAGACTAGAGATGGAGACATCAGCCAGACAGCGTTACACCATCCAGGTAAAGAGGGAGGGACCAGTCCCATCACTGTGTAACTGAAGAAATTGCTTTCATGAAATATTAAAACAATATAAAACCAAAGATGAATTTCTATTAATATGATAGAAATTGATTCTATGAATATGATTTGAATTAGTTCAAAGTTATATATTAGGTAAAGGGGTAACTTTCTTTCAAATGATGTGAAAGGATTTTTTTTTTTTTTTTTTTTGAGACAGAGTCTTTGCTCTGTCACCCAGGCTGGAGTGCAGTGGCCTGATCTCGGCTCACTGCAAGCTCCGCCTCCTGGGTTCACGCCATTCTCCTGCCTCAGCCTCCTCAGCAGCTGGAACTATAGGCGCCTGCCATCACGCTCGGCTAATTTTTTGTATCTTTTAGTAGAGATGGGATTTCACCGTGTTAGCCAGGTTGGTCTTGATCTCCTGACCTCAGGATCCTCCCACCTCGGCCTCCCAAAGTGCTGGGATTACAGGCATGAGCCACCGCACCCGGCCCGACTATTTTTTCTAATATTAGAAATTATATATAGAGATAAAAACTTTGAGCTCATAATCTAGGATTTGATGAGACTACTAAAGGGCATCTAATCAAGTCTACTGCTCTCAGGAAAAATTCATTCCAAAGTTTGTTAAGTTGTATATTTTATTTATTAAAACCATGAATGTGAGACTCTAGGAGAGGTATGGGCAGGGTTAGGGGCTCTGGAAAGTTCAAATCCAAGCCCAAACCTTTAGAGTTGAGATGAAAAATGTGTATTCAATATTATTCTGCACTATTGCTATTATTCATACTAATCGAAATTTAATAACTAACCAAGGCGGTATTTTCCTTTTGCTTTTTCTAGAGATTTATCCTGCAATAAAATACAGTCTATTGAAAGACGTACATTTGAACCACTACCATTTTTGCAGTTTACGTAAGTTACACATATGACTTTATTAAATTTGGAATTTTTATAAAAATTATAAACCTCTTTGCTATTCATTTTGAAATATGATTAAAGTTTTACCAGTAGAAAGCTACTAAAATTATAGAGCAAATCCTTTTTGTCTCTAGCAAGGATTCTTGTGAGAATTATTACACAGATCTTAGTGAATCATCAGAGAGCAGTGGTTCTCAACTGGTGTGATTTTCTACTCAGGTGGCATTTGGTAATGTCCAGAGAGAGTTTTGGTTGACAAAACTGTGGGTGTGCTCCTGGCATCTGGTGGGCAAAGGCCAGAGATGCTGCTCAACATCCTCCAAGGTATAAAACAAACCCCCATGGCAAAGATATAGAGCCCAAAATGTCGATGGCACTGAAGTTGTGAAATCCTGTTCTAGAGAAATAAAGATCACTTCACACTTCACATAGGTGTTTACTGAGTGTTCACTGTTTTGTAGCTAATGCACCACATGTGCAATGTTGAAGTATAAATCATAAGCCAGTATCTTCCACAGTGAGATTTCCTTAGTGCATACAGGAAGGATTGAGGTTATGTTCCATCCTATATAAATTAGAATCATGGCAAATGATAAATGTTCTGAAATAATTTTTTTTTCTTTGGCTTGTGTCTTTTTTTGTAGAAATCTTGGTTGCAATTTACTCACAGAACTGAGCTTTGGAACATTTCAGGCCTGGCACGGAATGCAGTTTTTACACAAGTTGTAAGTGAAATAGAAGATAAATACATGTAAACAACTATTTATGCATAAAAACTCATACAATTATTGGTTAGCTGGGTATAAGCCTATTATGAACTTTGAAAAGTATGTCTTAAGATCCATTCATTTTTCTCAAATGGGGAAATTAAGGTACAAAGAGGCCAAGAGACGTACATAGCTTATATATGACCTGCTCTGCTTCTCCTAGTTCTGACCTATGGCATGGTCAAGAAAAGGCATCAAAGAAGTGACTCTCAAATTAGCCATGTTGCTGGGTGGGGTGGCTCAGGCCTGTAATCCCAGAACTTTGGGAGCCGAGGCAGGCAGATCACCTGAGGTCAGGAATTCAACACCAGCCTGGCCAACATAGTGAATCCCCATCCCTACTAAAAATACAAAAAAATTAGCTGGACGTGGTGGTGCAGCTTTTTGCTCCCTGGAGGACTTTGTGTAAGCTTCCTTCCTTGCAGCTAAATGTTGCAGACATTTAAGCAGTTAGAAACTCTGCATATGAGCAGGAATCAACGTTAGATCCAAAGTGTAGGGCCGGGCGTGGCAGCTCACACCTGTAATCCCAGTACCTTGGGAGGCCGAGGTGGGAGGATCACTTGAGGTCAGGAGTTTGAAACCAGCCTGGCCAACATGGTAAAACCCCGTATCTACTAAAAATACAAAAATTAGCAGGTCTTGGTGGCAGGTGCCTGTGATCCCAGCTATCGGGAGGCTGAGGCACAAGAATGACTTGAACCTGGGAGGTGGAAGTTGCAGTGAGCCGAGATTGTGCCACTGCACTCCAACCTCCCCACCAGGCTGGTCTCGAACTCCTGTGACCTCAGGTGATCCGCCCACCTCAGCCTCCCAAAGTGCTGGGGTTACAGGTGTGAGCCGCCATGCCTGGCCAAGATCATGTTTATGTTAAGCTATCATGCAAAAAAAAAATTTGTAAAGAAAATACATCACTTTATCTGAATTCCATAAACTTTCCTGACTACTCTTCCACTATAAGTGCAAAAATTCTGTGATTTCTCTGTAGAACATACCCAGCAAATCAGAGTGGGTATATTCAATGGCCTGAAGGGGACTTTAGACTCAAGGTGAAGATTCTCCTCGACATCTGACTTTAGAAAAGACTTTCCACCTCTCTTGTGGTTCAGAAATCTAGTTTCACACAGTTCATTTTGAGGTAGAGGGAGGCATTCAGGATGTGTCTGAACTAGAGCAGCAGTTTCTGCAGATGCTCCTCTCTGTCCTCATTAATTTGCTGATGCCTGACTTAGGAAAAGGACACTGAGGGTCTCTTTCTCTTTTGCCCTCACACCAGAGAACAGGCTCATTAGGTCCCTCCACCAACAGGTTTAGGGAGCATCAATACAAACGTCTTAAACTCACCACCTTTACTAAGCACTTTATAACACTGGGAGTCCCTCATAAGAATCTGGTGGCCAGGAGCGGTGGCTCATGCCTGTAATTCCAGCACTTTGGACGGCTGAGGTGGGTGGATCACCTGAGGTCAGGGATTCAAGACCAGCCTGACCAACATGGTGAAATCCTGTGTCTACTAAAAATACAAAAATTAGCTGTGCATGGTGGCAGGTACCTGTAATTCTAGTTACTCAGGAGACTGAGGCAGGAGAATCACTTGAAACCAGGAGACGGAGGTTGCAGTGAGCCGAGATCGCACTATTGCACTGCAGCCGGGGCGACAGAGTGAGACTCTGTCTCAAATCATCATCATCATCATCGTCATCATCATCATCATCATCATCTAGCCAGCTTCACTACAATTATGTAGGAAATGCCGGGATATGCTGGAATCACAGTTGATAAAAAGTAATGAATTCACTCAAAAACATTCACTGAGTGCCATGTCCATTTGTGCCAGGTACTCTACTAAGCGCCAGGGGGTAAAAAATCCATCTCAAAGACACACCAAGATGAGGACTTTGTCCCCAAGGGACTTTCATTCCTCAAGGAGGAAGCGGCTGCTGAAGGGAAACATACGAGAGCCATGTGGGGATCTGTACAGCAGGGTGACCAGGAGAGGACAAAGCAGGAATGGGTGGTGGGTAAGAAAGACTTGAGGAGACACTAACTTGCTTATCTCGAGTTTCTGTGTTCATCTTAACAGAAAAGGGCATTTGCTTCATGGTGATGAAAAAATCAGAGCCAGCTGATACTGGAAATTAATACTCATTTCATATAAACAGAATAGAGCTGAACCCTTCAAACTAAGTCATAGTTACTTTCAGAGATTGGCACAAGGGTCTCAACACACCAAGTGTGTTAGGGGCTGGGCTCCTTTGTTTGGGTCAAATCTTTCTGGTAAACAAAGCTACACTGCAGAGTCATATTTGGCACATGTGACCTATAGGCCCATTGCATTTCTTTCCAAAGGCAAGTTGCCAAGGGAAGGTGCCGGTAATTTTATGACCAGTATGACACCATTTTGTGGTGTTTGTAAGTTGAAACAATATATTTCCCGGCATTATGTAAGTTTGTAAGAAACGAACAAAAAAAGAGGCCCCAGCTGTGGTTGCTGGATGATGAATTGAATAGAGCCTAAGCTTCAGGGCTTCTCACTTGCATAGGCCCTTCCAAGGTCCTGGGAGGGCCCCTGGAAATTTTTGTATTCATACTTTTTTAAAAATGTTTTTACTAGATAAGGTTCAGGCCCCACAAAATCCTGAAATCACCCCTGGGTTCCAATAGTTACAACCCAGTGCATCTCTTGAATAAAGCCTCTATGTTATTGACAAATACTGACTGGCCAAGTTAGCAGTGTGATAGGGTCAGTCCATTTTGAATCTGAAATCCATCTCAAAGACAAACCAAGAGCTTATTAGTGGACTTAACTGGGTTCTGCTGGCCCAAGCGCAGTAAAGCCAAACACCCATATCGAGGTTTTGCATTGGGGAAAGGAGGACATTTATTTGCAGGGCATCCAAGCAAGAAGGACCAGGCAGCTAACTATCAAAGTCCCCCTCTAAATGGGGGCAGTAATCTTACCTCTTACAGATGAAATGATGAATGAAATGGTTTATGGAAAAGCAGCAATGGTTGATAATCCTAAATGTTAAGTAAGTTTATATTTTTTCCCTGAGTTTAAAGTGCTTCTCCTTCATTCCCATACACAGGTCCAGACTGATGGCTTATTTTTTAAAATTCTCTTAGTCACTTCATTGGTTCTAACAATAATTTTAGAAACTGGATGACTTTGCAGTGTAGAAAGGCTATACTTTATTCCGATAGAGCACACTCACATATTGGCTTGTCTGTGGCTCATCAATATCATGCCAAGAATGTAAGCCCTAAGAGAGAATCAGAGCAAAATCCAGGCTGTATCCCTACTGAATTATTTATCCCACTATTAGAATATTAGTGAGGTAGGTGTGGCCACCCTGTGATGGCAAATTGAGCTTCGTTCACAAACATGCCTTGTTGTGCCCCCCAGTCTACTGACATCAGCTTCCTTTACACAGCGGTAGATGCACAGAAGTGTGCGCAGTTGAGGATGTTGTCATCATGCTTTGGTATGTATTGGAACCCTGGCAGCTGCTTCTCGGATTCAGAGAGGCGTAAACATTACAGATGAAAAGAACAACTGGGGTCTGTCCTTGGGGTGATTTAGGGTGGCTGTTTAAATTTGTAATGGTTGAAAAGTCTTGAGATTGTCACACGTAGCAACTTATACTTTTCTTCTCAGCTGCAGCTTATTCTTCTCACCTGTGTAACAAGCTGTCTTCTCTTCTCACAGAAGCTCAGCATTTCTTCCTCTGCCCCATAGCATTTTTTCAGTACTTACATTTACTAGGTCCTGTTTAGGTTGTAGGCACCTAAGTACTTATACAAGTGAGATAACATGTCCGAAGTTCTTAGAACAGTGCTTGGCATATGGTAAATGCTCTGTACATGTTACCTCCTATGATACCTCATTTTCATTTTTCCAACAACTCTTGCGATGCGGTTATTATTATCATTTCTATTTTGCAGATGAGGAAGTTGAAACTCAGAGACGCTAGGTAATTTGCTGAGGTTCACATGGCTAATAAGTGGCAGAACCACTTACCAGCTTTGCAAGTAATTTTCGACACAGCTCTTAGTTCCCCTGTAATAGGAGCTGAATTATGACAATTTGGCTTTGTGTGCATTGTATCTTACTTTCGAACTTGAATAGGACTTTTAGAGCAGTGAGCTCCGTTTCCCTCTGAGAATCCCATGCTTCCGGAGCTCCTGGCCGTACCAGCTCTGGGCATCCCCAGGGTTCATGCTCACTGGTCAGTGCTGGTGTGACATGACGGCTGAGCACCGGCACTGTGTCCAGCGCATTGCTAGGCACTATACACATGCTCTTTCATTGCTTCCTCAAACTGCCTTGTGCTGTAAATGCTACCCAGAAAGGCTCATGTTCATTACTCAAGTCACTTCACCAGAAAGTGACAGAGCCAGAATTCCAACCCAGGTCTGCAGATTCCAGGTCCCTTGCTTCTCCTGTTGTTCCTCATTTTCAGGGAGTCTTCTTCAAGGTTATTCTCAGGACTTTGATTAAGATATAGGCTCAAAGCTCGGCATGGTGGCTCATGCCTGTAATCCCAGCACTTTGGGAGGCCAAGGTGGGCAGATCACTTGAGCTCAGGAGTTTGAGACCAGGCTGGCCAACATGGTGAAACCCCGTCTCTACTAAAAATACAAAAACTAACCGGGCATGGGGACGGGCAACTATAATCCCAGCTACTCTGAAGGCTGAGGCAGGAGAATCACTTGAACCCAGGAGGTGAAGGTTGCAGTAAGCCAAGATCACACCACTGCACTCCAGCCTGGGCAACAGAGTAAGACTTCATCTCAAAAACAAAGAAAGAAAGAAAAAAGAAAAAAATATAGGCTCACCATTTCAGATTCTCTAGACTTTGCCTCGGAGAAAGGGTTTACGTGATGCAGTTCGAGGTCTTGTATTGACCAGCTTGGTGCGGGGACATGTGTTTTCATGACTCATGAACCTATATAGA